CAGAGAATGATCCCAACAGGTATGGAACACCTCCAGCTCGTAAAGAAGATGTTGAGTCTTTGGCTACTGTTAAAATTCAAGAGGCTAGTCTCCAGTGTTCTGTGTGTTTGGAGGATTTTGAGGTTGGGATCGAAGCGAAACAGATGCCTTGTAAACACAACTTCCATGGTGATTGTTTGCTCCCGTGGCTTGAGCTTCATAGTTCATGTCCTGTTTGTAGGTATCAGTTGCCTACAGATGAGACTAAGACTGATGATTCAGCAACAACAACAGAAACAGAAGCAAATGACAACAATGGAGTTGGTGGTGGTGACTCTCATTCTACAAGCAGCAGCCAGGAGACTGAGAACAGTAATGGAAACCGCCAGGAGGAGGACAATGATGGTGGTAGGATCGAATTCTCAATCCCATGGCCGTTTAGCAACTTGTTCTCGTCCTCATCTCAAGACAGCAATCGATCCAGTTGAAACATGTTTCTTGAGGCAACAGAAGACTTTTTCATGAGACCACGGTTCAACTTTTAAACTGTTTTTTTTTGTTTGTTTGTCTGTACATAAGGCATATCGGATTTGGTTGAGTGCTACTCTTTGGAAAACAAAAGCCTTTTATTTTTGAACAATTTTTCTGGAGAATTTGGCAAAAGTCAGCTTTGTGGTGGTGTTTTTGCTCTCGACTCTAAGAAACAGTGCAGTACCTTGTTTAGTCAACGATCGCATTCATATGTAATTGCCTCCTTTTACGCGTGAAGATTAGTAGTTGAATATTCAAAAGAAGCTGTGTAAAAATAACAAAAGGTGCGGCTTTAACAAACTTATACCAATGTTTCACAAAGATCTCCTTCTCTATATAAGAAGTACAGAACATTGATATTACACTACCTCTCTCAGATTAATCTTAACCTAAAGAATAAACAAGCAAAGAGATGAATCGTCATGTTTTATCGATAGTCGCTTTGATTCTTCTCTTATTCTCTGCGTTCGACAACGCAGCAGTGGCTCGAACCTTAACCTTGCCGAGTAAGTGAATGTTTTCTCTGTTAAATGGTTACCTTCTTGTTGAACTTCACAGTTATTAAACCTAACTAGACCAATCTATAAATATATACTTTTAATTTGTAAACAGAATATATGTGTTTTTAGACAGCTTTCAAACAGGATTTATATTCAATTCTCATCTCATTTTGTTGTTTGTTTTGTTTTACAATTATAAGGGGAAGGAATATCTACAAGTATAAAAGTAGGTGTCTCAAGGAGTGTATCGCCGCCAGCTCGTAAAAAAGGACCTGGAGCTCCTGGACAACAAAATCCTTGATCTCTTCCAACGTTTTATGTAACCAATAAATATGGCCAGATTTGGGTCAAACCTAATGAAAGATTGGTTTGGCCCCCAATTATTTGTAGTCTTTTTACATAAGAATAAGTACTCAATTATGAACTTTTTAATAAGAATTCTTAACAATGTTTAAACAAATTCTTAGACTCATCCTGTAATATTCTTAATTAATCATAGTTATGATTTACCAAGCAAAATCATGTTATTACATAACAGCGCTCTCTAGTTTGATCATTCGAATAGGCGATTATCCTATACCCCTATACGAATGATCAAACTAGTAACTGAATACCCGAATTCGATCTGAAATATTCGAACCGATTCGAATTAGCAAAATACATTAACGGATATTAAGTTAGAAGAGATTGGGTATCCGAATCCGAACGGGTAATATCCGAACCTGAATGGATATCCAAAGATAACCAAACATATGTATATACATATTTTATTCCTACTTTATTTGTCTTATATTATTAAATATTTGTATTCATGTTGTATTTATATTATATATATAATTGTACAAAAAAATGATTTGCTACTCATTTAAAATGCTATTACTACATTTTTAACAAAAGTTGCATTTAATATTTGAAAACAACAACCAGATTAATGATTTTCTATTTTTAATAGTTTATTTTTGAAACTTATTAATTATCTAACTTATTAAATATTAAAACAGTTAAGTTAATAGTAAAATTTTAAATACGTGAAACTTGAGCAATGAAGAATTTAAATTTTATCTTTCAAAATTTATATATCCGAACCCGATACGAAATAATCAAACCCGAACTAATATATCCGAACCCGATCTGATATGTAAATATACCCAAACGGTTACTAGACCCTAATACTGAAATACCCGAAAACCTAAAATACCCGACTCGAACTCGAACGGATACCCGAACACCCACCCTTATAAGGGAAAATCACATTTTAAATCTTCAAGTTACTAAAAGTTTGCATTTTTAACCTTGAAACTCAACAACAAACATTTTTAAACAATGAAAAAAAAATTCAATAACATATTAAACACTGAAATTAATTTATTTGTTCGCCATGTCAAAATTATGATCGATGTTGTTTATTATCTGATTAAAATGATGACGATGCATTACATTTTTTAAGTTTTTATTATTACTTTAATAAAAATGATTAAAATGAATAAAAAGGAATAATTAAAATAAATAAATTTCTCTAAAAGTAAATAAAAATATTAAAATTAGAAAATTATATAAATATTAGAATTAGAAAAACAAATTTTATTAAAAATAGAAAAAAAATATAATTAAAAAAAATCAAAATAGTATCACAAAATTCAAAGTATCAAAATATAAACTTATAACTTTAAAAATTTCTTTAAAATATTAAATTAAAAATTGACATATCTCAATAGAATGAACCAACTCATGAAGATGGTGACGATTTCTAACATGGCATTCTTCTTAAAAAGAGTAAAAAATTAAATAAAAATATGAATACAATGGTTTCAAATACATGTTTCTAATAGTTTTTTTATGAGTTATATCTATCATCATTAGAAATAGCCATATATTTGAAATTTTATAGTATTTTTGTTTTCTATAATTTATAAAAAACTAAAATAAAAAATTTATAATTTTGTAAATTTGGACCATTTTAATATTTATAATTTTTTGTTTTTTTGTTTATTTGTATTTATTTAAACATTTTAATATTGATTTTTATATTTTGTATTTATAAAAAAATATATAAGTTTCTAGGTTTAATATTTAAGATAATTTTATTTATATTATTTATATATTTAATTCATTTTAATTATTTTTATTGATTAAAATAATAAATATATTTTAAACAATTTGTAGGGAAATTTGCCAAATATGACTCAAAAATTGGTTTCAAATGCAAAAGTAAACTCAAAAATGAATCAAATGCAAAAGTAAACTGAAATGCTATTGAAATTACAACCAAACCCTTGTGAACAAACAAAAAACCCGAATTAATTTTACGTTTCTAACCTTTGCAACTATTCTGTCCAGATGACTTTCAATTAAGAATTTATAGTTATTCTTAAAAAGAATTAAAAAATTTCCTGAAAAATATTTAGATAAGTGAAAAATTGAAATCATGTAATTAACATATGTTTTAAGAGATATAAATTAAGATATAACAAAATTTAATTGTTTTCAACATAGATGATTGAAAGTAGTGAGTCATGATATTCTTTGGTTTAGGTTTTGCCAACATATGTTGTAGTATTGTATGTGTTTCTTAGGGCTAGATTTTCGAAAGCATAAATGTTTTTTTTTTTAATTTAAAATTTACCTAAGTGTGTTTATTTTTGTGTATAGTAAACACTATTTAAGTATAATTTGATTTTATAACGTGTTTAGTTAGTTAATTTAGTCAATTTAGTTTAGAGTTTAGGGTCTCGACGACTTACTATTAAGTCGTCTGGTAAATATATTTAAGGCAGACGACTTACTAATAAGTCGTCCAAAACGGATCGAACCTTCGATTTTACCAATTTACTTTTAAACCTAACCGGATTTTTACCGGACATATATAACATGTTTTTTTTTACTCACTTTTTCGCGAAATTCAGAAAATCCTAACGTCGTTTCTCTCAAAGGTGATTTCAAAGACAATTTCCGTCAAATCTCTCTAATCCATCGTTCTCACTGCCGGTTATCTCTCCGCCTTATCAATGTCGTTATCACCACCGTTCTCACCGCCGCTTCCTCTATTTCAGATCTGAGAGGAAACCCTAGAACCGTTTCTTTGTAAACCCTAGCGCCGTTTCTCTTAGAGGTGTTTCGTTGAACTCCGCCGCCGGTAATTATATCTAAAGAAGAGCATAAAACATCGTTCTCACCATTCTCGTCCGACTCAACAACAATAGATATATCATCATCCTCCTCCCTATCATCTTTCTCCCCATTATCCTCATCCCATCATGATTTTCATCTTTAACCAAATCATCATCATCATTTCAAAACATTCTTCAGTTTCATCAGCTTCTTCCCTTTCCTCTGAAACCGTTTCCACCTTGCTACGGCTTGATACACAAAGCCGTACTACATGCGTTTTGGTTATCTCGAGCAAGTTTAAAACTTGTCTATCACTTGTAACATGAATAGAAGGGATGTCTGGAAAAAAAAAAGAGGGATGTCTGGATCCATCTGTTGAATCATTTCTGTTGGTAATGAGTAGATTATCTGCACAGATTATGTGTTCATGTCCAGGTTGAAATTTTCTTGAGCCATTGAAACAATTCAGCATGTGTCGAACCTTCACTCAAAAAAAACATTCTCGCTCCTTTGAAATTATCAACCACAAAATCTCAACAACCATCTTTGAACAACCATTCTCCATACACTGCATGTAACTGACGCATCATCTGCAAAAATTCAAAATAAAACACATTAGTAAATATAGAGAAAATTAAAGTTTACTAAACACTGACATCGACGACATACCAGTAAATCGTCTGCATGACTTAGATGACTTACCATTAAGTGCAATTGACTTTTTAATGGGACGACTTAATTTTAAGTCGTCCAGATTTGTTTGTTAATAAAAAATCTGTAGATGACTTACAATTAAGTCGTCTAAGATAAACGGGTTAGTTTTGCATTTGATCAACTTGCGTCCGACTATTTGACTTTTCCTGAATGACTTACCAGTAAGTCGTCTATGGGAAACAAAAATTTCAATATTTAATTAAAGCTAAACGAATTATCTATGAGTCATCTTAGGTTAGTTTGCAATTCGAAAATAAAATTTAAATATTTTATTTTTTTCAGAAGACTTACTTGAAAGTTGTCCAGTTTGACGCCTTACGAGAAAGTCGTCCGAGATAAGCAAGGTTTGACCATAATCTCGGAAAAAAATCTGGACGACTTTACTTATCGTGGAAGACTTTCAAGTAAGTCGTCTAGGAGAAGTACAATATTTAATTTTTATTTTCCAATTACAAAACTAACATGAGGCGACTTACAGATAAGTCGTCTAGCTTTAATTAAATATTGGAATTTTTGTTTTTTCAGAGACGACTTATTGGTAAGTCGTCCAAGAAAAATCAAATATCTGACACAAGTCGGTCAAATGCTAAGCTAACCCGTTTATCATAGATAACTTAATGGTAAGCCGTCTACGG